GGTGCCTCTGACGAGCTGCTGGTCCACGGCTGCCTCGTCCTCCACGGCCTGCCAATAATGCACCCATTTCCCGAAGACGTCGGGCCTCTCTCCAACACCATCGTCGCACAACGAAGGTCGATCGAGTAGCCTGAGGTTCCAGTGGCACCGCACAAGCTTCTCAGCCCGGGGAACCTCCAACCTGTTGCGAGACTTCGAATGAATGAAGCTCCAACGAGACCACGCTCTCTCGCACGGTGAGGCGGTTGCCCATATACGAAGGATCCTACCTGCAAACACGGTCGTGTGAGGGAACTTCGCCTTCTTTGAGGACCAAAAACTGGCAGGGTGATCAAAGATATCCGCAGCTCGCCGCATGGTGAGCTCATCGAAAGGGGGCTCCCTCGTGTGGAGCTTGGCGACCGCTCGTTGGACCTCCCGGTGCTGCGGCGAATCCTCCTGGTAGCCGAACTGGACAAGGGCCTCGACCAAGGCCTGCTGCACCTCCGCATCGTCACAAAGCGTCGCGTCCCGGAACTCTGGATCTAGCAGCATGGCTGCCACGTGGGCGGGGGTCTTGAACATGGTGCGCTGCCTGTGGAACACCTCCACAATAGCATCCTGCTGCTCCCGATCAATGTCACGACATGCGGATAAACAAGATGCAATCATTTCCTCGTAACGTCGCAGAATCTTGCTGATCTGGCRTGTGTCGCTGTCCACCAACTTCAGCATGCCCATGATGGGCTCTAGCATCTTGCACAGAGCTCTCAAATCCTCCCACCATGGAGGGGAGCCGATACATGCAGTGACCTCCGCTGCATCCTTGCGGATCTTGCTGGTCGACCAAACAGTCTCGCGCCAGCGATCGTCGGCCACAACATCTGTCAACGCTGCCCGCAGTGCCACCAGCCTCTCCATCATGATGACGTTCGTGCCGAAACGCGTCTCCGCCGGTAGCAGAAGAGTCTTCGTCGAGTGCGCCTCAAGAACCTCTCTCGCATGTCCATGGCGCTTGAAGAACCTTGTAACCGGCCTCGCTTGAGAAATGCGGGAAGCCACCCAATCAATCCCGCCGATGTCCTTGAGAATGAGATCCATGATGTGGGCGACGCAAGGAATCCAGAAGATGTGTTTCACGCTCTCATCTTTTTGGAATACCTCCATCGCCGCGACGTTCACCCCGGCGGAGTCCGTCACGAACGCCGTGATGTCGCTCAATTGAACGTCCATGGACTTCACCCTTTTCAACCATGCGCTCGCGAGGGCACTGGCGTCCTTTTTGCCACGCATGACGTCAGTGGACACATACACCACCCCGATCTCTGTACCAACAAGGTAGTTCCACAACGTCTGACCACGGATGTTGGTCCAACCATCGGTCATGATTATGCAACCGGTCTCTTTCAACGTGTCAAGCACCGGCCGAACACACTTCTGGACCTCACCATCCAGCTCGTCCAAAAGGGTCGTGCGCAGCATGTGGTACGAGGGAAGTCTAGGCGCGGGCGCCCCTGGAATCCCCGGCGGGATTATCATCGTGAACATGCGTTTGAAGCTTTCAAGCTTCGTGCTGTTGAACGGCATCCCGCTCTCGACGATGAACCGCATGATTTGCAGATGTCATGCGCGCTCCAAAGGGTCCGAATAATATGACGTGACGGCTTGCTGCCTGTAAGTGCCCCGACGTCGTCCCGTCGTAGCTCTCCCGCCGAGGACCCCAGCATCCAACAACCCGCCAGGGCTCACAGGTGTCGCGCTCTGGGCGACTGCAAGGTCACGAATGCGCTGCAAAGGGTCTAACGTTCCGGTCAACACGGGTGGAGGTTGTGGGGCAGACCGACCACCGCCCGTGGTTGTCGGAACAGGGGTCGGCGATGAATCGGACACCGGAGCGGGGACCTCCTCGGCAGGCACCCCATGATCCACCTGTTCCCTGAAACGAGGCACGAAAGCAGAATGTCGAGCATCTGCAGGTGCGTGTGACGGATCCGGGTGGGCGGTTCTGTGAGCGTGGTGGACAATTGGACGCTGCGCCGCTCTCGACGGTGGCGGTGGCAGCCAGGGGTGCTCCGACGAACTGTGGGGTGATGCGCCAGGTGCCATCGAAGTACCACCCCGTGCGGCATCTGACTGCCTATCACTCCTGAAAACAGGGGTGAGCGCGGGCGCTGAACTGCCGGCACTCCCCCCCCACCTGCGACTCTCAATAAATGCACGTGTGCTCTCCTCGTCAAATGCCGCAGAGCCCACACCATCCCTCAAAGGCGGGGGCTCTTTGGCTGGCGTGGAACGACCAACTCCCACATCGCGAGCACCTCGTGTCTCAGCCAGCGGCGCACACGGCGGGGTTGCCGGTCGTGTTGCAACTGTTATTGCAGGACGCGGTACCGTGACTCGAATGGCCGGGGCCCCAGAATTGGGCGATGCGACGGCTCCAGAAGGGGCGGTGGGAGGAACCAGCGGCGGCACTGCGTCCTCGGGGAATCGAAGAGGTGGCCACTGCAAGCTCGGATGACCTGGCAAGTGGCTCTATAACGTTTCTATGACCGACGTGAACTCCTTTGGACATTTTGTCATGTCCTTCTACCAGATCGCATTCCACACAGCAGGAGTGGCTGCCTCACATCAGAACTTCTCGCTCTTCGAGAAGTGCTCCTTGGCGGCTTTAGCGCCCCCATAAATCGAACGCCCGCACAACCTACACAGGCATCGACGACCGCTCTTCCTGCCCGCCGCCGTCGACCCATCCAAATAACGCCCTCTGGCCACGAAATGCCACACCRGGTCGTCCCGCTTGCCGTCGACTGTCGGGTCGACCTTGAATGGCGAGTCAAACGTCTTCGTGTTATGACCTTGTCGGGCGGTCGTGAGCGAGTTTACCGGATCCTTCCCCCGGTCCTGCGACATGATGAAAGTCGCCAACCGCGAAAAAAAAAGACGATGTCGGAACCCTCTGAGAATGTTGCCAACTCGCAACATAGATCGAAGTCGGCGTCAGAGCGGCAAAGAAATGCTATGAAACATGCAAAAACGATGAGCGCAAAGTGCAGAACACCTGGACATCAGAGGGAAAACACAAGACGGCATGAAACAAAAAAACAAACAACCAAAGAACAACAAAAAAAACTCAGAACTCGGAGGCAAAAAAAAACAAACGCCGATGTTCTCTGTCCCTTGTCAAAAAAACGACAATGTTCTCCGCAAGGCAACCGTTCCACAGGCGGAAATTCCGATTCCAGGAGGGCGATCCCACTGGCCACGTATGTGGAATAGTGTGACTGGTGTGGGACGGTTGGGGGACAGGCGGGTGGTAGAGGGAAAGAGGGAAAATAAACGAAAAAAAAAAATTGCAAGATTAACTCCACACACCGTTTGCTAACTCCACACACCAACAAAAGAGAGAGAGAGAGAGAGAGAGAGAGAGAGAGAGAGAGAGAGAGAG